ACGGACTCTTTGCTCTAAATCTTACTCGTTTTTCACGGCAAGAGCGTGCCTTTTGCTCTAGCCTGCATCTTACACGCTGTTCCTGGACTCGGTTTCCAAAGGCCTGAGAAGCGCTACACTTGCACAGGGAGGGAGCTCGCAGTCCGCCGAGCTGTGCCCCGGCCTCCACGGGTACCGGCTCGGAGGGCCCGGGAGGGGAGCGAAGACCCCGAACAACAGAAGGCCTCTCCCGGCTGCCTGTTGTAAGCGGTGTGCTGCCCACGGGGAGTCCGCTCGCCCGCCGAGCCCCTTACCTTGAAGGAGGCGTGCTGCTCCATGTGCCGCAGCAGCTGTGGCTTCTGGGCTGCCGTGTAGTCACATACGGTGCATTTAAACTGCTTCCCTGCAAAGAAGGGAGAAGGAAGTGAGCCGACAGTCCCCGCGTGTGAGTGGAGTGTGAACGAGGCACGAAGCTGCACCGTGCCGTCTGGAGCCCAGGAAGCACACAGACACAGGGAAGCCGGGGGCGCCCCATGAGCAGTGACACCCGAGCGGGCTCCTAAAGAGAGAGTCAGGCTGTGCCCAGCTGAGAGGAAAGGCACCACGGAGAGGGGGGCACGGGGGTGAGAGCACGGGGTACGGACCCCAGCCAGCGTGGGCAGGAAAGGGGAGCAGCTGGGTCTTCCTTCCCGGACCTAACGTGTGATGTCTGGGGACTCAAGAGCTGACCCCGGAGAGGCTGGGGTGCTGGACACCAAGGGCCCGCAGCATCTCCCTAGGAACGTAGACGCTACCCCAAGAGCCAAGAGAACCTGCGGAATGCCATTCAGCAATAGAACAGGTCTGTGTTTTGGAACTCCCAACTCTGGGAGGAGCACAAAAGGCAGATTTGAGAGGATGCTAAAACAGAAAATGACAGAGAAACGTAAAACGTTGCCCTTTTGAAAGGATTAATGTTTTAGCAGTTTGTAAACATTCAATAATGTGATTAAACAAGCCCACACATTAAATCAATGGAGGTAAGGGGCAGGCTACATTTAAAAAAAGAACCCTGATTAGCATGACTAAAACCTCAATTTGCAATAATACAAACGTGCAACCAAATATACTATGACCTACTTCTTACAGCAGTCATGTTCACCTGTAACTTCTCATGGCTTCCAAGCCTCCTCTGGGAACGAGGACCACAGTCCCTGCGCGTGGCAGCACAGAAGCACCGCTCCTTCCGGGGACCTCTCCCCCCTTCCTTTCTCAGACATGCAGGTGAAAACTTGTTTTCATGACCCACGTCCCTTCCAGCCCCCATGGCCCCTTCCTATTCACTCCTGAACCCACTGAAAACTAGCTGACAGCACCGGCACACCCAGAACCTCTCTCACCAAGGTAACCAGTGACCTCCACGATGCCCAGCCAATGGGGGATTTCAGTCCTCATTTTACGGGACTCCACTCCCCGTGGCTCCGCTAACAGGCCATGCTTGGGAAGTCCTCTGCTCCTCAAAACCCACACCACGGCTGCCTCTCTGGCCTCTCTGTTTGTTCTGAGTACCCTTGAGACGTTCTCTCCCATCTACATTTTTATTCACTGATGTCCCACGGTGGTCCAGCCCATGTTCCCGTCCTCATCCCTCTACAGGCATCCTTGCAGGTAGTGGTCCCCTTGGGCTTCTGTAAACCTTTGATGTCAAAGTCTACATCTTCTACCCACACCTTTACATTTTCTACCCTTCTCTGGACCTGAGATTCGAGTATTCAACAATCTGCTTGCACTGTTGCTCAGCTGTGACAAGTGTCCTAATTTGGACTCATTATCTTACCCATCAAATGGGTTCCGCCTCCAGCCTTCCTAGTTCATCACCCACCTGATCGCCCAAGTCCAAGACCTAGCAGCCTCCCTCAACATCTCCATGACCCTAACTTCACTCACCTCATTTTTTCAGCACCTGATTTCAACTCCTAAAATTTCTCTATTTCTCTCTGATACTAGAGACTCCACACTGGTTTAGGCCTTTCTCATTTCTTTTCTGGAGAATGGCAAAAGCCATTTGAACTGATTTCCTTGCCTTCAAGTAACCCTCCCATCCATCTGTCACCCACCCCATCCGTCATCCATCTGTCCATCCTGATGCCCCATCCTCCAACCACAATCTAACACATAAACCTGCCCACAGCCCTCCCTGCATAACCCACCAGCAACTCCAGCCACAGAGCAAAGCTGAAGTTCCAGAGCACGGCACAGAAGAGCCCTAGAACTAACGGCAGCAGAACTAACTCTCCCCTTCCGACTCCTCTCTCTGACTTCCAGTTTTGCCTTTGCAGCCTGAGAGCCTTGAGCCTCTGCTAATGTTTTCCATGTCCAGGATGCACCGTCTCTTGGCATCTGGTCATTCTTCATTTTAACTCAAAACTCAAGCTGAACAACATCTCTGGCATAACCGGGCTCAGAGCCAGCCCCCTGCGGCCCCTACACACCCTCTCCAGGCCCTCTGTCTGGGCGCCGGCTGTCCACGGGCAGGAACCAGGGCTTACTCATCTCGACACTCCTAGTGCCCGAGTGCATGGCACATGCTGAACATATGCTGTGCATTTGACAAAACTGAACTGGGCAAGAAACAAAAAGGAAATTTTGCACAGCTTATGTGAATAAGAATTTCAACAGCAGCAGCAGAGGGGAAACAATAATACAGACATGTTAATACTGCAATGGCACCTCTCACGCCAGGCGAATGACCCCCAAATTCTACATGCTACTAAGTCTGCATCCGAAGTATGGGGAAAACTCTTCTATGTGCAGCTAAGTCATAATTAGAGAGCAGTGAACACCTTCTCTCAACCACAGTACCATCTTACAAACAGAAGGCCACGTATCTACACATCTTCTAAATCATCTCAGCTGCCCCGACTTCTCCACTGGTTTGTGACTCGCCTAAATAAATCATTACTGGGCCAGGCAGTCTGAGCAACACACTGTCCAGGTTCCCCGCCGCCACAGTGCGGGGAAGGAAAGCTGATAAAACCACTCTCCAGCTTGATAAATATTTTCACTCATTCCCAACACACTTGGATCAAAGAGTAAGAGGTTAAGTGCTGAAAATGATTAGCGCCTGAAATGAATAAATGGAATCCCCTCGTTTGAGATCCAGAGTCAGCCTTTTATGGATATGGTCCCAGGGCTCTGCCAGAGACAGGGAAAGAAGGCAGCTCCTAACAGCCCTCCCTGACGCGGGGTCAGTGCCCGGGCAATAAATATTACAAGTGTTAAGCCCCCGCCACACAGGCCTGGGAGAGCGCTTGCCATAATCTTTCGCTGCCTAATTAAAATAATGCAAGAGAGATGCATGACTCATCATAAAAAAGCAGCGATTTGAGACCATCAGATTGTTTTCTATCAACATATCCTGAGAATTACAGGGAGGCTTGGCTAGGAAACGCAGTATTTACCCAAGGTTACAGTGACCTCAAAGGGCTGGGATGGAACATCAAAAGGCGGTATAGGATGTGAGCTCCAGAGCAGCCCAGGAAAAGAAAGGAATGAGGACAAAGGAAAAAAGAGGTGGATTTTTTTAAATAACTTACTTCATTTTTCACACAAATGCCCGCTAGCTCTCCTTCCTGAGCCGCTGGCCGTCAGCAGCTGTGCTAGGATCCGGGATGCCCATGCCGCCCAGAGCCTGGGGAGGGGCAGTGGTACCCCCTTAAGCATGAGGTTTGAGGGACAGGAAGCCGAGCATCTTGCCAGGTTATGAAGTGGCCGGTGGCAGAGCCTGGATGCAGACCCAAAGCCCCTGTTCACAGCCACTACATGAGAGTCCTCCCAGCTAGTGAGGGCATGACACAGTTTCCCTAAAGGGAAAAAAGAATTTACAACAGCAAGGGCGCATCTGAGCCACACACACGGAGGCTTGTCTGTCGCACAGGATGGCGGCCCCGAGAAGTACGGGAGGCAGGGGAGGGGTGTTCTCCCTCAGGCTCTGTCCAACCCACTCCGTAGGGCCTGCGGCTCTTCTCCACTGCTCAGCGGCCCTGCTAGAAAAACGAGGAGGTAACCCCCGTCTGCGGCAAGGATGGTCTCAGACACTAGGCGACAAGCATCTGAAAAGTGGTCCCCAAGAGAGGAGGCTGGGGTATGTGCAGGTGACCTGGCAGTGGACCCTTCACCACAGCCACGGCAGCAGCGCCCCTCAGATCCTATCACTGTGACCTCCCTGACATTCTCGGCGACAATCCAAGGATAGGTCTAATTAAGCCAGCCTGAGATAATACTCCTTAAATAGAAAGAACACAAACAGAAGGGGAAATGTTAACATGTAAGTAACTTACAATATCAAAGAGGCTGTAGAAGGCCGTCCTCATCACCCTGCCCCTGGCAGCCGCTCCGGCCTTGTCTCCACCCAGCGCGCGTCTCCACCACCTTACAACGGCTGGCAGGCGCCTCCAAGGCGTGGCTCCCTGTCACCTCCCTGCGTTCAGGCACTACCCTCACCCCCTCTCTCCCCAGCCCGGGGGATGCAGTACACCCAGGCCACCTCTCGGCCTCTGCACTTGCTATTCCCAGGGCTGGGGTGCCCTTCTATGCTCTGGGGGCTCGTTTCCCTTCTATGACCATCCCATTAGGGTCACCGTCCCCATCCTCCTTTAATGATTCATTGTTGACATTCCTCATCCAATAACAATTTCCTATTGGAATCGAACCGCATCAGATTCGTATTTTCATATGTCAGTTTTCTCAATATTTGAGAGATTTTCATAACTCAGTTATAGTGCAGCCCACATTTTATTGATTTTTCTTGCTTATTGTTTAGCTTCACGACAGGGAGAGCTTTGGGGGCCTTGCCTTGGTTGTTGTTTGTATTGCCCAAGGCATCTAATCACCCACGTGGCTCACTGCTGCCTCTCTGGTTGGTCCGCCTGGTGCCCTCGCTGGGTTGCGGGTACTTTAGGGACAGGGAGAGGACACTTCTCATTCCATGTCCTTGTGCTTGGCAGTGAGCACATGCTGGCTGTGAGGCTAACAGCAAGTTATAGGAGCGTCCCAACAGGACGTCTGCACAGCCCAGCCCCCTTTCCCTCCCCACAGTCACCAGGACTACACAGGGCACACAGAAGCCGCGGAGGTGGCCCTGCCCACCATCCCACCATCCCTCCACCCCCAGTTGCAGGGACTGGATCTTGGGGGACGAGGGACCCAAGCTGAGCCAGGAATCTGAGCCAGGAATCGGGACAGAAGCACATTACTCAGGAGCTACTGGTCATTAGACTTCCACCCTGTGGAGGAAACCAGTAAAGGAACCAGCCTGCAAAGAGAGACAGACAACATCAGAAGGAAGGAGGCAGAGAGGAGCAAAGGTGAGCGATGAAGATGCTCAGGCGGGGACCAGGCCTGACCCCAGAGCATGGCGGCAGA